CAAAAGGTTACACGCCAAATTGGACTTACGAGACATTCACAGTTGCTAAAGTGAAACGTTCAAATCCTACGACATATATACTAAAAGATAGTACAAATCAAGAAATAAAAGGAAGATTTTACGAACAAGAATTACAAAAAGCGCAGTACCCCGACATCCACTTGGTTGAGCGAGTAATTCGAAGAAAGGGCCAGAAATCCTTAGTGAAGTGGTTAGGATTTGACAGTTCTCACAATTCTTGGGTATTAAATAAAGATATTCTATAAATTTTGGCATTTCAAAGCTGTACTTCAAGTAAGATGTGTTTAGAAGACGGCGCAGCTGATTATACCAACTTTGAAGATCGACTCCTATCATTTCATTCATGGGTAGGAGTTCCATCGGCAGTTGAACTTGCTAATGCTGGATTTTTCTACACGCATAGCGGCGATACGGTGGAATGCTTTTATTGTAAAGTGCGCATTAATAAGTGGGAGGCCTCCGATGTACCCTTAGCTGAGCACCTTCGTTGGTCGTCACGTTGCAGATATGCAAGATTATTAAATCGTATGGCCTGCTTGAAGATTAATGAAACAGAGAAGACCTACTGCGTTTGTGGTTGTAGTCCGGGCGCTCATCTTATTTAATAAAACAATGCGATTTATTTTTTTTATTGTAATTATGGCACATGGTATTGTAAACATTTTAAATAAACATTTTAAATAACTTAGCTTGTTACTGATGATTACAAAGAATTAAGAAAATCTTCCAAACTTTGAATTGCGTTAATATCGCGATGTCCCCATGCCAATGTTCTGCAGGTGCCAGGGATAATGTATCTTTTGTCGTCCGTTGATGATAAGGCTATTTTGTTTGTCATTTCTGTGTACATGGTGTGCAAGTGAGATCGAAAACCGCTCATCTGCTTCATAATCACGCCACCTTCTTCGACTACTTTCTTATAATCTTCCTCTTTTAAGCCGTTCTTTATTACATACTTTTTTACCCCTTTAGCTTTCTTATCTACACGATCACCTACATTGACACAGTATGACTTTGCACCTGCACCGTAAAAACTAGCGATGGGGACACCGCAATATTCATCTTTCATCTTCCCCACAACTGAAATGTTGCGTGGAATACCGTGTACATTATCAAGGGGAAATTTAGATGTGTCATATCTATCCAAATATAATTTCATGTCATCATAGAAATTATTAGTAAAAATCTCCAATATAAGGGAATCGGTGTCTGTATACAACAAAGATACTTTATCTTGATATAATGGTTTTAGAAAATCGTAAAAGAACTCGTACATAACTGTTTTGGATAAATCTAAAATTGAAAAACCAACATACACAGGTTTGTTGTACTTTACGGATACTTTGGACATTTCAATTGCCACGAGATTTTCAGAGAACACCGATAAATTTTTAAAATTTGGTTTAGATATGTGCCCCTCAGCTCCAGGCTTCTTACCGATCCTCTCCCAGTGACTTACAAGTGCAACGTTAACTCGTTTGTCAACGTTTTCCATAGTTTTACCATAAATGCTGTTATTCATAGTTTTTATAGTGTCACGGCCCGATTCGCTAGTTTCACGATTACGCAGTTCCGTATTTAGATCAATATAGGATTTTAACCAAGGCGATTGGGTAAATTTAACCCCGCGATGAATATTTTTTAAAATTAATCCGTGTTGCAGGCATTGTCTTAGCATTCTATAATGTAAAACGTATTTTTCCTTATGATTTAAATTTGGAATTAGTTTCTTATACTTTGACCTTGAATTTGGCGGAGTTATAGATTCTGGGCAATAGGGCATGTCATTTTGCAAATTGTGGAGGGCCTCAGGGTACAGTAGATCAACTTCTAAGACATACCCGATCGGTGACTCATCTGATATTTCGAAAACATTAAAATTTTGAATTTCTTCGGGTGTGAGCCAAACAAAGTCACTTTGTGGGAGAAATTGTGTTTGGGAATGACCATAAAGATTGCATGCATCCAGATAAATAATAAATGAGCTTGGTTTGGAAGGATCGTAATTGGGAAGAAATTTATTGTTAGCGATTGCTTTGCGTTTGGTGCACGTACTGACGTCGCCTCGAATACCACGTTTAAAAAAATGAAGCATGTCAATATCTGTCAGTAATTCTAATTCCACATCCGTCTTTTTTAACATAGCGTCCCAGCTAAGGCTAGGACCGGTCAGATATTGGGCAGCGTCAATTTCGTACTCGCGTAAACACACGCCTCTGTAGTTTTCAAATATATCGGCCAATAAAAGCACGTCAGATTTTAAATAAATGTCCGAGTATTCGCCCAACGTCTGGCAATTAAATAAATTCCAAACTTCCTGAGCACGTCTGTATTCTTCATCGGTAATGTCCTGCTCGTGCAACATATCAAAGAAATCGCTTTTATTGGGGATCGTAGTTAGATTAAGCTTATCGTATGAGTCTACAAACGAATACGGAAAAACACCTTTTTGTCGAATTAATTCAAATTCACGTCCAGATCCAAAAAATTTTGTAATTTCAGTGCACTCGCTATCACTCAAATTTTTAGCAAGAACATTTAATGAACTGGCCAGAAAACGAAAACTATCGACGAAACGTATTCTCCATATTAGGTTTTTTGGAACTCCGTTCTCCACGATTTGATCTACTACAATATGCTTCGAAAAAGAAATGTATTTTTCCTTATTTCCGGCAATAACGTCTATATTTTCATTCTCTAAAGCCAGGGATTTAACGAAAAGATGGCTGTCGTACCCGGTCAAATTGTGGAAAAATACAGGGATAAAATTTGGGGTTTGAAGCTGTAAATTACATATAGAATGACATAATCCGGCCCTGACGAAAGAAGTCTGATGGTCGTGGTCGATCACTTTTACATCTCCCTCAACAAAAGGTTTCTCACAAATCCCATAATTTGTGGCAAGATTAATTTTTCTCCGTTCCTCTTCTGTTAAAATTTGTAAAGGTTTACTTTGCTTAAAATGTTGATTGTATATGGTTAGAATATCATTCTCTAGTATATTTATAAACTGCACTGGAGCATTGGCACCTCGATAAATTTGAAACTTTGAAAATTTATCATCAAAAGAACATTTAATATAATACGCGAACGAATATGGTTCGTGCTCAAATGTTTTGGTAGTAAATTGAAGAAGAGGATTCGGTTGAGGGCCTTCTATGGGCTTAAGCAACGATTCGAAATCCGCATAGACAACAAACGGGTGTTTGATTTTATTTTGGTAATTATTAAATTTAAGTCGATTATCAAATGACGACTGGCCCCACTTTGTCAAGATAGGTTCCTTTGTAGGCAAAAATGTACAAACATAATTACAATCGAATCTAGAATGGCGCCACAGGTTTTCCTGACTTGTAAAATATTGCAAGCATCCGTCACATACAGGGTGATTCCTATAGTACCTGCCACCGTTTGGGAGCGTGTAGGTGGTGCGTAGGGGAGTATTTTGATATAGGACACTTGGGGTCGGAAATCCAAAATAAGGGTGCCAGAGCCAAATTTACCTTCTGGAATTTCGCGCCTGTAGGTAGGCAACCCAACCGGCCGGCGGTGCACACGGAGCGATCTCAGGCGGCGATGTGTGGCTGATACTTGATCAGAATTTTGTTTAAACCCACGAAATCCCGTCTGCAACGACGCGTATCAAGTGAATAAACACTATGGCAATAGTATAATAATAGTTGGCTAGATGTAGGAAGTGCATTGAGAACAACGGTGGCCACGTGGAACACTTGTAAACGTTATTGCTTTTGACTGTCGTTTTCCCTCCTTCCCTCCCATGTCGCTTCCTCGCTCTGCATCGCTCCGCGCGAAACGTCGGTCGGTTGGGTTGCTTACATACAGGCGTGAAATTCCAGAAGATAAATTTGGTTCTGGCGCCCTTATTTTAGATTTCCGACCCCAAGTGTCCTATATCAAAATACTCCCCTAGGCACCCCCTATACGCTCCCAAACGGTGGCAGGTACTATAGGAATCACCCTGTAGATAAATAGCTTCTTTGTGCTTGGACACTTGCATGGAAATTAATCGCGACATATTAGAAATGTAGCAGTAGTGACTGTTGCCATCTAAATTAGACAACTATAAAAGATTTACATGCACGGTTTTCTTTTGTTTGGTATAATGTAAAGGACCTACTACTTTATATGTCATTTTACCTTGTTTCTGTGTGTCCTCCTCTAAACCGTAAACGTTAATGGACAAGGGATTCATTTCTTCAAATTTTGATATCGCATCTAATTTTACCGAGAACGTTATTCCTTCAAAATTGAACTTTTCTAAATAGTCCGGATACGAATCCGGTTCGCAGGGATGTCCAGTTGGAGTATAAATAGCTGCAACTAGCGCCCATCCAAAACATCCGAAATCCTCGTTTTTTACATTAATAATGGCTCTTTTGCGTGAAATAAATGCAGGGGTCGGTATGAATGAAGAAGCTCGTAGCGGGTTATATTTATTAATGTTGACTTCCATATATAACCAGTGCTGAAGAGCCCATCCTAGAACAAATAATTATGTAAACATGGCATAAACAATTGGATATTAATACCTGACTCGCGATGTTCAAATTCCGTTGCGTCAACGTTTTTCGATGATATCCTTAAACCATTCACTTAAGTCGGAACTTATCGTCAATACTTGGTTACGAGTATTAAAAGACTTAACTTCTCCTCGATCCTTCGATTCCAAAATAAAATAACCAAACAGCTCGCAGTTCACCTTAACGCTACCCATGATATCAATTTGCTCACGAACTAATTTTTTTATTACGTCAGCCAACGATTCGACAAATTCCTTCAGATTAATGTATTGTGTATTCGCTGATATTCTGTAGCTCACAATGCGAGATTTGAAGGCCGACGTAATTACTTGAACACCTTCAGTTGAAAACGCAAGGGAATTATTTTTATGTTTGACACTTCGCAAATGTCCAACATAATCTCGGCTTGAAACGTGCTCCGAACACACATCGCAAAAGCTCTGGGTATCGTGTGCAACTTTGAGCTTCTTTGGAGATGGTTCTTGAGCTACGATTTAAACACTTTTTTTTTGCAAGAGTAATAAAAATTCCTTACCTCTACATGACTTTTTGAGATGGCGTCGAAGATTGCTATTAGTAGCGAATGATTTATTACATTTTTCACACATAAACATTTTTGATTCCTATAAAATTGAGTCACAAATGAAATAATTTCGCAACTTTCTCACCTTATAAACGAGCTTGATCTCCTTTTTTAAATAAGCAGTTGGCACACCGGCTTAATGATCCCCCAAAATCTGAACTCTTCAATATTTTTACTGGAAGCTCCTAGATAACAGTAAATGACAAAAAAAAAGTAACTCCACTCAATTACTTACCCTACGGATAACTGTTGGATGTCCGCTAATAACTTTGCCCTCCTTTCAATAAGGTGCTCCACTTGGCAATGGCACCACTGGAGATCGCAAAAATTGTTTTCCCGTTTAATAGATAAAATCTTAAAAAATCGAGAAAGTTGTTTTTCGGCGTCTATAAGTTGACGGTTAAGGCATTCAATGTCACCGAAGATTTCTTCAAGAAGCGAATAATCGAAATCTGGACAAATTAAATCTTTAAAAATATCTTCTATTAACTCGTTTTCTTGCACATCAGCTTCTTTCGCGGGCACGACTACAATGTTCTGCAATATTTTAATACGGGGCGAAGCACTCATGCTTACTGCAGCTGCTCGATATTTTTGCACTATATATGTGTGGGGTTTAAACTAATTGATCAAGGAGCATGATTGAGCATTTCCTCTCTACAAATTATCTACCAATATCTCAAACTATTTGAAGATATCGACTGCCCATTAAAATTTTTTTTCTTGGGATTCGTGCTCCTCCTAACGAATACACCTCTCCAAAAAGGTTTGGATTTCCCCATTCCATCGATATTCGCATATATAAGGTTCTTTGGTATAAATACAACTTCTTCAGTTAAAAAAATTCATAACATTTCGTTAACAAACATTTAGTTAATATGGAAACTCACGGTAAGTAGAACTTAAATCTTTTAGGCATCACAGTAATTACTTATTTTTTTATCAGAAATCGAAATTTGGGACGTGGTTCCTTTCGAATTATGGATAGACCGGCCCGTAGATACCCCCAAGACGGTCATCGTGAACACTTTTGAAAGAACACCCCTATTTGCGACAACGGTTCCACCCACCGGCCCGCCTATCATAACATCATTTGGGCCGGTCACATTCACCATGCGTGAATCAAATAACACATTGGAATTTTTTTTCATAAACACTTTTAAATAAAAACTTTCCGATTTCTATTACATTTTATTACCTTTGAAAAATAAACCCTTTACCAAGCATTTCGTTTTAGAATAAAAGATAACAAACCTTACATCCATTCAGTAGTCATGTATAAAACGTTAATAATAATGGGTTAAGTATATAGTTTTGTCTTATAACAGGATTTACTTTGTAAAAGATTCACCAAGTTATGGGAAAAAAAACTCACATCATTCGAAAACTCTTCGATCTAGGCTTATAATTTTTATTTAGTAAATTTATTCAGTTACGTAAAGTAATAAAGGAAAATAAATGAATCCCATTCAAAAATAGCGAAGTGTGTGTATGGCTGCTAAGCGCCTGCAACCCTTAACGCGAACACGAAACAATGACTAAATACGAGTGAAGTGAATGTTTCTGTCCATTTTTACGTTTTATGAGAAAGCTGTTTCATTCTAATTTAACTTAGAGACATCCAAAATTCGATTATTATTTTTATAATCAAACTCACACTCAAAACGAGATTTATTACAATAATAAATTGTAAATCCATTAACTTTTACGCGTATTTCAAGTCTGTTACTCATACACCGTCCATCATTCAGACGTGTTAAATCATGTGTAATTAAAATATTCGTAGTAATTTAGTGCAGTAATAAATTAGACATCCATTAACTTAATACAGTCGAACTATGACATCAAAATAATCATACGCGATTTATTCCATTAAGATTGAATACACATACGCATTGATTAAAAAATACCTACTTTACTATCTAAATAACCTAAAAAAAAGTTACACGGCACTTGATATTTGTATTTTATCTTTACCCATAAGTGTCCACTTAACTAAAATTTTATGATTCCTAAAAATCCGAAACAAATGTATTACGCTATTTCAGACCCTTATTGAACTGTATAAGGAATGAACGACAGTTTTACGATAGTTTTTTTCGCGTTTCGGATTACATTACAATTAATTGTATAAAATTCCCTATAAAATATGTAGACCACTTTTGCTGTGATCGATAGATGAAATGAAATGCTACTTCCACTTAAATACGTATCCGCGAATTTGTATTTATCACAACACCTAATTATGGGTGATTTTGCTTTACGTAAAACGGATTGGCTTGATTACGTTTATTGCTTAATGTGATTCGAAGTTTATAGACCACGATTCATTTTTGCTTATTTATTATATTTAGATCCAGGTTTTTTTTTCCTATTAATTATAGGCATCCATTAAGCACTTGTTTACTTTAAATTAAATTATTATCACTTTATAGAGGAAGACATATTTGGGCATGTAATAAATTGTAAATGCATTAAGTTTTACGCGTTATGTTCCATTAATTGGTAACACTTTTTTTCCTGTATGTAAAACGCATTAAACTTACTAAACTACATAAATTACCTCAGATTCCCTGCGATAATTTAACTACATCAAACCCAAATTATTATAACAGCGCTCGGGCAAACTGTCATTTAATGACAAGCACGGTCTACAGAAAATGTTCCTGGCCAGTTAATACTGAATAGATTTCAAAAAATTAAGGACCAGTTAAACGAATGCACTGTAATTTACTCCGGCGAAATTTTGCTAAATTTTTGTTTAACAGGGTAGCACACTCATGAACGTTGATGTTTTTTCAACTTCATTTTAAAGTGGAATACCCGAGCGCTGTTCAGGAAATTGGGTATTTTGAATATACTGAAACACGACTTCTTTGAGTCTTCATAATTTATTACACACTTAAATGAGATTACTAAGAATTAAATTTATGAACTTTTCCTTGTTCGAAATACAATTAATTTATGAGATCTTTCAGGCTCTTTGCGTCTTGATAATTAGTTACGTAAAATGTTTCTTTTTTGCGTTACGAGTTTACGACTAAAGACGAGATCACGGACGGCCTAAATGGACACCCGTAAGTCACAGAGGATCCGTTTACCTAACTAAGCAAACACGGCTCATTTGTGACCCCATCAATTAAGATACGATCAAGGACGGCTCAAATGAATCCCCGTACGTTAAGGAAGGATCATTTGAGACCCCAATGGGTTGTAACTAGGTCATCGAGGATTCTCTGAGACCCCACTCGCATTTTAAAAGTAGGTCAGAGGATTCATTGAATCCCCATAGGATTCTGATCAGGATCTGCGCATCCCCATCCATATAGAGCCTATATGCGCGGAACCCAAGGTCAAAGAGGATCTGCGCGCCCCCATTCTTTCCGCTACTATGTTATACATGTGATTTTGTTATTGATTCTCAAATGCTTAATTTTACCATTTCTTGAATACAATTTACTACTCTCAAATTCATTTGATGCCTTCTCAAATACAAATCATTATTCTGAACTACATTTGTTGTTTTCTCAAATACATTTTACTATTCTCAAATACAATTGATACTTTCTCAAATTAACTTGATAGTTTCTCGAATAAAAGTGGAAAAGGTGTAGATACAGATACATTGAAAAGTATTCAAATAGTTTAACAAATAAGTATTCAAATACTTTAGAATGCATTCGAATACTTTCAAAGGTATTCGAATACTATAAAAAGTATTCAAATACTTGTCCCTCAAATACATTAAAAATGTAAAATAGTATACTAGATAAAAGTCTTAATACTACTTAAAAAATCAAGTTATACTTTGTATGGGGTTAGCTTATTTTTATATTTCTATTGTTATATACAAATTTAAAGGGAGTAAAAGTAATAATTTCAAACAGTTCCAAGATTGGGCTACTAGTTCGAAAGGTACAGCCCTTTGAATTTTCTTTCGAAATTGGTTTCTAGTCTACAACTTTTGATTGAGAAGTCTGATCGAAAAAGTACGAATTGATTTGGATTCTACGCACCAAAATTAATAAGAAAAAGTGTTTTCGCGAGAAATTTTGGTGTAGTCGATTTTTGGTAAAAAAGGAAGGTTATACACTGCCTTTTTTTGAGCCCCGAAAAAAAAATTGTCTCAAATCGACCCGGAAAAAAAATTTTCTTATAGAATGTGGCCTGTAGAATCCATAATTTCAAACAGTTCCAAGATTGGGCTACTAGTTCAAAAGTTACAGCCCTTTGAATTTTTTTTTTCGAAATTGGTTTCTAGTCTATAACTTTTGATTGAGAAGTCTGATCGAAAACGTACGAATTGATTTGGATTCTACGCACCAAAATTAATAAGAAAAAGTGAAATTTTGGTGTAGTCGATTTTTGGTAAAAAAGGAAGGTTGTACACTGCCTTTTTTGAGGCCCGAAAAAAAAATTGTCTCAGAACGACCCGGAAAAAAAATTTTCTTATAGAATGTGGCCTGTAGAATCCATAATTTCAAACAGTTCCAAGATTGGGCTACTAGTTCAAAAGTTACCGCCCTTTGAATTTTCTTTCGAAATTGGTTTCTAGTCTATAACTTTTGATTGAGAAGTCTGATCGAAAAAGTACGAATTGTTTTGGATTCTACCCACCAAAATTAATAAGAAAAAGTGTTTTCCCGAGAAATTTTGGTGCAGTCGATTTTTGGTAAAAAAGGAAGGTTTATACCTACACTGCCTTTTTTTGAGGCCCTCAAAAAAAATTGTCTCAGATCGACCGGGAAAAAATTTTTCTTATAGAATGTGGCCTGTAGAATCCATAATTTCAAACAGTTCCAAGATTGGGCTACTAGTTCAAAAGGTACAGCCCTTTGAATTTTCATTCGAAATTGGTTTCTAGTCTATAACTTTTGATTGAGAAGTCTGATCGAAAAAGTACCAATTGATTTGGATTCTACGCACCAAAATTAATAAGAAAAAGTGTTTTCCCGAGAAATTTTGGTGTAGTCGATTTTTGGTAAAAAGGGAAGGTTAAGTATTCAAATACTATTGCGAAGTAAGTTGGCACATTGCTATTGTGGTGGTACAATCTTCGCCACAAGGTGCGTATACAGCAAGCACCAAGAACAAAGTGGAGAATTTGATGGATCGAGATGTTTTGATGGCAATAAGTACACGGCACTTCAAAATCCACAATCGTATCATAATTAATAATGACTTCTCGGGACCGAAGGGTGGTGCTTCCCTGTTAAAAAATTCAACTCTGCCAAGTGACATAGACGACACAATTTTGTTACGCCTGCACTGATAGCAAACATTCCAACTGGCGGCGCTTGATGTCATTAATTCTGAGCATATTTATTAGAAAAATAAAAAGATCTGTGGAAATTGAAACGTTCGCGTAGGCATGCGAAATTAGATGGAATCAAGAATAATTTCGAATTCAATTTCCTGTTTCTTTAAGGCATGAAAAGGTTCGGTTTTATT